TGTAGGTGAATATAACAATGAATATAATAAGCGCAATACGTCACATTTGACCAATCAACTTGTAGGATTTGTTGCATTCACTTGCGCAAAAATACTAAATATACACATTATCGTATTATTGAGTTATCGCATATCAAATCGTATATTATACACAATTTAACAATGTAACATTGTACAGCATGTAGTTGGTTAATCAACTATATTTCGGGGGAGGCAAAATTACGGAATTGACGTCAGGATTTGTTTATTGCAGGCACACTTGAGTGGAGGGGGCTTACAAGAGAGAGAGAGTCTTTTTAGAGAAGAGTGTTTTGAAGAAGGGAAGCTTACCAAAGAGACGAGCTTGTTGGAGAGGTGGCCTGGGCAGGAAAAAGAATTCTCTTCCTGGGAGCACAACCTGGAGACAAAAATATCCTGCAGACTAACAGAGTATTTTTGTTAGCTGACCATAGTTTTAAATTCAAGGAATAACGTCTGTCACCCATATGTTGTTGCGCCAATAGTGGGACATGGGTGTTAAGGTTTCCTTCAAATTTTCAAAAGCAAATCTTCATTCAAACGAAATTCCTGCAGCTGTTTAACATTTCCTGCGAGCGGTTCTCGCCTATTTTCTCCACCCCCTGAAGGTTTCTCATTTAACAGGGAAACTCGGAGAGGGGGAATTCCAAAGGAGGATTTAATGGAGAGAAGGGCATATTAAAGAGAGAGAGTGCTTATTGAAAAGAAGAGCTTAGAAGAGGAGGTTTATGGGAGAGAAGAGCTTGTCCGGAGAGAAAGCACCTTCTGTTTAAGATGGCTTATTCAATATGGGGCTAATTGACGGGGGGGGGGGGCTTTTCGGACAAGTCCATAAGGTGTTATTGACAGGGGGCTTAACATGACACACAGTAAGCTAATCTGAGCTTTCGGCTTACTTAATAAATCGAATGTATGTATGTTTCTCTTATGTGTTTCATGGACTTCACACAACATGTATGTTTCTCATTCATGTGGCTGAGGAAATGGGGGACTTAATACAGCAGTGCATGACTGGGCGAATTTATGTCTTTAAAGAGAGAAATATTTCAGCTAATTCAGGGGGTAGGATTAATGGAGAATTTACGGTAAGAGATAGAAAGATATAATTTATTCATACAATTTACACATACCAGGAGCAACAATTCCGTCTTCATCTAGAACTTTATGTCGCCAGATGACATCTTTAGTTTGCGCGTCACGGCTGGGACCTAGAGAAAAACATTATCTATATCTTGAAGGAAAGCATTTCAACGTTTCGAGTAAAGGTCATTCATCAGGTTAGAAACTAGAAAGAATTTGGATTGTATTAGCCAATCATGTTTAAAGTGCACATACAGCTATTTTCAATTTTACATATTTGTAATATCCAGTGCATTTTAAGATGAAATGCAATATATTTTCCTTGTAAAAAACGTCATCTTCATGGTATTTTTGGCTGTTAAAGTTTCCGGGACTGACGTCATTTAAAAAGGCAATGCAAATTAGTTTTGTATTGTTTCTTGCAACAAAATAACTTAAATAAATAATTGCACTTTAAATAACTACAATGTAGCTTCATACTGATTGACTGAGCTACAGTTGAAATCTTGAAATGCTCGTTTTAAGTGAGATACAATTTTGTTATCTATATTTTTTTGTTTTTACAATGTATTTATTACAGAACAAGAAGTAATTTTCTCTTACCCATGACACGATCAAACGTCTAAAGAAATAAAAATAACAAGATTCTGTACAAGGGAAATAAATGTCTTACCATGATAAGAAACGAGTAAAATTGATTGAAATGATATTAATGATGGAACTGCAAATATACACTAAACTGTAAATGTATATATTACTGGTTAACAATATTTTCATATGTGCAAGTAAAACCTCGCATATATATATATATAAGAACCTAGATTTTCCAAGTTAGCCTAAACAGGTTCTTATTTATATGGTGCTTAGCAGGAAGTTTGGTATAAATAGATTCTTAAATAGGTTCTTATTTTCCTAAGAGAGAAGCGACTCATTTTACAAAGGTAAATGATTATGTATATGGTACATGATTTGTATAAATTGTGCACAAATGGTCTAAAAAATGACAGTGCATGCACTGTTTGCACTTTAAAGCTAAACTGATTGTAACTTTTGACTTAATTTTGACTCTATTTGATAATATGATCTACTTTGAAATTCTAGCCTGAACAGGTTCTCATCTTGCAAAAGCTTAAGATGGTTTTGTATAACAGATGATTATGCGGTATACACGCACGCAAGTTGTAGCAAGTCTGCCAACAAACCGTCAACAAGTTATGTTCGCACAGCTTGTTCCAAGTTATCAACAAATATGGAACAACATGTTAACAGTTGTAACAACCGTTGTTGATATTATCAGACTTGTTGCAAGGTTGTTCCAACAAGTCTGATACAGTCATGATATAACAATGTTGTTACAACGTTATGTCATTAACCCTGTAACATTCTTGTATAGCATGACTGTATATCAGACTTGTAACAAGTCTGATGATGCCATCAAGTTTGTTCCAAACTTGTCACAACAACTAGGAACACACTTTGTCGACAACATAGCATTTACCCAATATAAAGCGCTAAATATAATGTTAGCATTACAAAAAGCAACAAATGTATACCTGATTGGCGTATCTCTTTAACACACAATTCTGTTTACGATATACTAAACATCGTCCAAAACCTACAAGGTACAGAAGATATATCAACTTGTATTCTAAGATATAACATTTTTGTGTGTGTTGGTGTTATGTACTCAGGTGAATATAATGCTTGTGGTGTTACTCTGAGTGTGCATCCACAACGGGCAAGCTGAAAAGTTTGCCAGACCACGGTGGGAATCGAACCCGCGACCTTTGGGATACCAGTCCATCGCTCAGTTGGCAGAGCATTGGACTGGTATCCCAAAGGTCATGGGTTCGATTCCCACCGTGGCCAAGCTAACTTTTCAGCTTTCCCAGTGTGGATGTACACTCAGAGTAACATCACAAACATCATACATAAACTTGTAAAACAGGTCTTTCAATTTTAATTATAATCTACTAAGACGTAACATCACACAAGCATCTTATTCACCTGAGTACATTGCACTAACACAGCAAATATCATGATTATTAGATTACACTGATATCGAAGGAACTAGACTCAGTTCCGAAATATCGCATACTCGAACCGACCTGACCGCGTAGCTCAGTTGGCAGAGCATTGGGCTAGTATTCCAAAGGTCGTAGGTTCGAATCCCACCGTGGCCAGGCATATTTTTCAAGCCTGCCCGGTGTGGATATACACTCAGAGTAACATCACACAAGCATCTACTAAGGTGTTTCTAAAGTTTGTACAACAATGTACATACATGCATAAGTTATCTTGTGACAAGAATAAGAAATGACTCATTAACAATGCTTGATACAGTATCAAAGAGAAATTGGTTAGCTGAAAAATTGATTATGGGTGCACATGCAAACACAGTGCACAAAACACACTGTTTCCCTCGGTCCCATGCATGCAGTAAATAAGTAATAATTGGCGTACCTCTATCAACGGAAGCCTTGTTTAAAACGAGGGCATCCTGAACAAAATGAAATGTGGTTACTGTAGTTTACAGCAGTTTTTCCCGCTCGAGCCGTTGGTGCTACAGCAATTGGGTAACCTATTATAACTGTCTTTCTCTATCTTTTTTAATTGTTGGCTTAATAATAGACACTTCCCAAATTTACTTCATTACCAGCCAAAAAATTCGGGAAGTATCAGTGTAATTTCGGCTATAAAGCCAAAATCTGCACGACGTGCCAACATATATAGTTTTGTTCACGGATGTTAAGCTATAAGAAAATGCCAGTTTGGCAGTTTGTGACAGGCAATGCCGTAAGAGTACAACCTAAAACTCATAGTTTTTTCAATCTCTTCATTGTCAAATTTAGTAAAAGCTTCCGGAAAATCATTAAGCTATATATTTTAGTATAGCGTAGTATTTTTATGTATGGCAGGACTTAATTTGGGACTTTATTAGTTCTGTGGTCTGTGCCTTCAATTTCTTATTGTAAAACTAATAAAAAAAGGAAAAAAAAGAAAAAAAAGTAACCTACAGAGCACGTCAGTGTATACTCCAAACACAAACCGCGGTAGCTTAACACTATATATCTTTACCGGACAACTACGTTTGAGAAATCTTTTTTGGGTAGTTCAGAGTCAGACACAATCTTTTTCAGATAGGTCAGACACTAACCAGACAGACATCGATATTTGTAAAGTTTAAGCCGTTAAAAGTTTATATACCTCGATATCATAACCACTATAGCTCATCACTGCAACCGTCGCATTTTGACCTTAAAAAATTGTTTGTAAATCATTTATAGATTCTTACGTAAAGGCTCATAAGGGTCACGTATGTTCTGTATGGGATGAAGAGTGCCATATGACCAGCAAACATTCCAAGGTATTCAGGCAAAACGAAATTAAGTACGGAAAACGGAAATCTGACATGTCTTCGCATGAAATATGATTGGATTGATGGGACAAGATACGAGTCAATTTAATGTGTTTGTGTATTATGCAATTGTACACCTTCCTGTTCAAACTTGTGGTTTCAGGTCGATCTTTAACCATATGCTTTGTGTACTGCATTTGAAAGACTTTGAGAGTCTTAAGTTTGCAAGATTTCGCCAAATTTAATGTCATTTGGTCTATCGAAAATGTCGCGAGAAATATTGCCTCGAAAAATATAATCATTGCATGCATGGTATACCAGTGAGATACGGCTAAAAATCTTAATCATCGCAACCTAACCATTGGAGGAGTTTTGGGTGCTGCCTAACCTGAGTATCAGGCCCTTATGTTTTCATTCGCCAGGATTAATTGGCGGCGGCGAACGAAGGAGAGCCTGATACAATTCTTTACCGCGGCGCATGTAAAAAACCAGATTCTGGCTTTTTCGTCTGATTGGCCGATTAGACAAACAATTTTTTAAATCTGTCATTTGATTGGCTGGTGCTAATTAGATTATACTATTGTTGTTGATATATTTTATAACGATTACAACTACAATCAATAGCCGCCCCATTAAACGGCTGAATTTAAATTAAAACTGCAGTAAAATTGGAAAATAATCGAAAATTAGCGAAATATATTGTAAATGTAGTTTATATTAAATCGCCATCATCATCATGCACTATCGACTGACGTATAGTTATAAAGTATACTTAATATATATATATATATATATATATATATATATATATATATATATATATATATATATATATATATATATATATACGGTATATATATATATATATATATACATTATAATTATACGTCAGTTTGTTGATAAATACGGCAAGCGCGATTTAAAGCTCATTGTAATCACTGAAACCTCTGCGGAGGAGAGAGCAATCGGGTGGCGATTTAATATAAGCTAGATTTGCAATATATTTCGCTAATTTGTGATTATTTTTGTTAATTTTATAAGTTCATTGCAGTATTAATTTAAATTCAGCCGTTTAGTGGGCTTCCTATGCTATAATTAGATTGTTGTTGTCGTTGTATGAAATTTAAATTTCTCCTGCGACATTTTGATTGGATACTAAATATAAATTTTGCTGTGGGCGGAAAGCGACCAGGTTAAGTTTTGTGTCAGGCTCTATTTGTAAAATAGAGCCTGATACTCAGGTCACGCCAAATGTGTATACTGAGAGCCAATTTTAGTTCCTTGTTTGATGCCGGATGCTGGAATATTGATATATTTGTATAATTGATACGCGTTTAGTGTTTTGGGGGGCATTAACATTTATTTTGTAATTATTCCAAACTTTCGATCCTTGAGTCAGCTTGGGTCTTCGCCATTAGCACCAATGAAAACGACAAAAACGAGAAATACACATATCCTTAAAATTATATATATATATATATATATATATATATATATATATATATATATATATATATATATATATATATATATATATATATATATATATATTTATATATATATATATATATATATTTATATTATATAGAATTTATATTTAGAATTATCAAAGTATGCGTGGAAACTCAAGAAAAGCGGGAAACAATACAACATCAAGTGGAGCATACTAAAACGTGCCCGTGCGTATACGGCTGGTGCAGCAAGATGCAATCTGTGCCTTGAAGAGAAGGTTTGCTTACTGGAACCTGACAAAAACAGGATATTGAATAAGCGCTCAGAAATATTCGCGAAATGTTGTCATAGAAATAGTTTTAGCGCGCGCAAATTTGAACGCGCGCGAGATGCGTCAGCAAACCGTTAGTTTAGAACACGTCATTGAATCAACTTCAATCGCCTGAAGATCGCTTCGAAAGAAGCGTGAAACACAGTGTAGCGACAAATATATTTTAAGATTAAAGAATTATATATATATATATATATATATATATATATATATATATATATATATATATATATATATATATATATATATATATATATATATATATATATATATATATATATATATATATAATATCGCTTACCTCAAAATTCCGCAACAGTCTGTTTCATCAGTAAAGAATCATCAGGCGGTATGACAAGTTTCGAAAATAGGGCTGCTTATATGTGTTTTGGCCGGAACGTGGGGGTGTGTGGGTGAAACAAAGCATGCATTCATCTATTGTTTGCGTTGTTTACGCGGAAATGCCTAATCGAATTGTGGGAGTGTATTGTTTGCGTTGTTTACGCGAAATTTCTTCCTATGACTGCACGTAGATATAATTTCCATTCTTTTATTGAGTAAACGGTTTTGGTTTTCTTTCAAAATACAAAATTTTTCCTCTAAACATAAATTACATCGTTTTGATCCTCCCGTATCCGAAATAGCGCGTTTCAAAATTTGCCAATTGATATTAAAATCTTTCTTGCTATCTTTCAATGTCCAAATATATTTCGAAAGTTCAGTTTTGTTTGAGTGCTCTTCATGCTCGAAAGTATAGTTATGGTTAGCCAAACGCTCTTTAAATGCAGTTGATGTCATGCCAATATAATTCATGATCGTGTTAGGGTTGCTTTTTGTGACTGTTGCTTTGTATACTATGTCCTTAGTCATGCATTGTTTCTGAATTTGCTATTCTACATTTGCTCTATCTTTATGATATTGGGCACTCTTTGCGTTTCGTATACACAAACCTACTCGTATATATATATATATATATATATATATATATATATATATATATATATATATATATATATATATATATATATATATATATATATATATATATTAGAAGATTAGAAGACAAACTTGAATTACTTCATATGAACTTTATTTCACGACAAATTTGTTTTGTACGACAAGACGAGTCTTGTCATACGAAACAAATTAAATTTGTAGTGAAATAACGTTCATATGAAGTAATTCAAGTTTGTCTTCTAATCTTATTAAACGCGTTCCAAACTATCTTTGCATTTTCCAAAATTCATTTTTTTGACTATTTTCCTCTCATTTTGCAGATTTTGTGCTAATTTTCCGCAAAATATAAAAAACGTTTTAAAAATGTTTGAATGGCTTTGTACTATCTGTAAAATAAGTCGAAAAAATTGATATTTGAGAAAAAAGCATGATGCAAAATCACGCTTAAAGCGCGAAAACTGTTTCCATAGAAAAACTCGTCAACATAAACAATCGTTTTCAAAAAATCTTGCTGACCTTGAATTTTTTTCTGCAAAAATAGAGGATACGGACTACCAAGAATTACGAATAAGCAAATTACAATACATTATCTTGGAAATGCGAAAATATAGATGCACCTTATCAAGCAGCATAAAATTTTAAAGACAATGAGATGCTCCAATTGAAATATACAATTTCCGAAATATACCAACGATTTCTGAAACCCTGTATACCTCG